GAGTGTGTGAGTGAGTGTGAGTGTGAGTGTGAGTGTGTGTGTGCGCACGCGTGTTAAATTAAATTAAATAGCATTTACTAATCTTATTATTAATCTTATTACCAATTCCTTTTTTTAAATCAAAAGTTGTATCTGTTAATATTAATTAATGGACCTGAGTTACATGTCCTAACAATGAAAAATACTTCTAAAGTTAATGTTAATTTCATCATTTACTAATATTAATGCTTTTGTTTTTCTTTTTTAAGTCACCTTGGATAAAAGCATCTATTAAATGCATAAATGTAACTGCAGATGCAATGCTTAGGCAAATGAACAAGGCAAACAAACAAACAAACATTTAATTTTATAATACATTTGTATTTTTATTATGTTTTTTTTTTTTAATTGTAAAAATGCAGGAAGTTTTCTATTAGGATTTGGTTACAGTACTTATAACTGTATATAAAATATACAGAGTATAGAATATAACAATAGAAGTCTGTGCAATGTCTCCATTTAGATAAAGTGTGCAACATTAAACAGGATTGTTTTGGTCTTAAACTGTGCGAGACAGCAGACGCTCTCTCAGGATCCTCTCATCAGACACGGGTCACAGTGTTTCAGCTCTGAATGAGACACACACACGTTTCCTTGTGCTCATCAGATAAATGCTAATCTGACACCATGCTAATCTCTTTGTCTTCGCAGTGAGGATGAGGCGATTAAAGCGTGTGCTAACAGCTTATTAGCATGTGTTATTAGTTACACTAATCTACTGGAGGCCTTCACGCTCTGAAAAACGCCTCAGATTGCTTGCAGGCGAGGGGAAAATCTGCAGCCATTTTTCTTCTCTCTGCCTTTTGTTTTTACGAGCAGGATTTTCTGCCGCGCTGTAGAAGAGCACAATGTTATCAGAGGCTGAATTTATGCATGGAGAAAATTCATTTTAATCACATTCATTCGCTGCGAGAGGGGGCAGACGTTTGAATCGCTTTACCTCTCTGTGCTTCTTGTCATCTGCTATTCGTTTAGCACGCTCCCCTCAGACCCATCGGGCCGCTTCTCATCACTGCGGCTTGATTTTTGCTGAAAATAGCATTCTTTCTGCCGTGTGCCTCACTGTTTTAAACAGCAGGGTTACATCTGTAAACCGTGCTGCCCCCTGCAACGATCCCGATATATATTTAAACATTCCTGAGTGTGTGAGACGTTCCTGATGTGTTTCGGATTGAGAAGTTAATCTGTGCTGCTAGAATATCAAACCATCTGTGTTTAATGAGTTAAGAGGGTCCAACCTCAACTTGTCACACCTGCCAGAGGCCAATGATTCTTATCAGTCATCAAACTGTATTTTAATTCATAAAATACAGTTCATTTATTTAGATCTTTTCTAAAGACAAAATATTTTAGGTTAGCCTTCATTTTCTCATGTGTGTTCCTCTGTTTTCTGTTATTTTGGTATCACTGAGATACTAAGTTTTTATTAATATTTTGAATTAGATTTTATTTTTATATTTTCCGTTTCAAATTGTATGGTTTAAATTTCAGTCTTGATTTTGGTTAAAGTTTTGTTTTGACGGTGAGTCAGAGATTAGCGCTGGACAGAAGCGCAGACAGATGGCACAGACTCCAGCTCCGGATTTCAGTAGAGATGTTTCGGATTGAGAAGTTAATCTGTGCTGCTAGAATATCAAACCATCTGTGTTTAATGAGTTAAGAGGGTCCAACCTCAACTTGTCACACCTGCCAGAGGCCAATGATTCTTATCAGTCATCAAACTGTATTTTAATTCATAAAATACAGTTCATTTATTTAGATCTTTTCTAAAGACAAAATATTTTAGGTTAGCCTTCATTTTCTCATGTGTGTTCCTCTGTTTTCTGTTATTTTGGTATCACTGAGATACTAAGTTTTTATTAATATTTTGAATTAGATTTTATTTTTATATTTTCCGTTTCAAATTGTATGGTTTAAATTTCAGTCTTGATTTTGGTTAAAGTTTTGTTTTGGTAATTTTTTATTAAATTTTTAAAATATGTCTATATTATTTTAGTAATTTTTATAATGATAAATGTTGCCTGAAATAAAAAAGTGTTTTATTTTATTTCAGTTAATATTTTTTTGTATTTATAGTAACAACATATTTTTTTAATAATTAAAATTTTAGTTAATTAACCCATAATCAGCGCAGGTCATCGTGTTATTTTCATATTTAAGACGACTAAAAACTGCATCTAAAGCAAAAATCATGAATTTTTTTATTTTTTATTTTTGTGGCTTAATATGAGGTATATTCCTCATGAGTGGGTGTTTAAAGAATTGAATAAAATTCTGATGGTAAATATTTCTCTAAGGTAAGGACGTGTGAGCCTTGACAGGAATTTTCTTTAGGAGACGTTTGTGTGTCATTGATTTAAATCACTCATTTATTTACATCAGTGAGTGTCAGACTATCATTCTTACTCCATATGATATGTTGCAGCTTCTAACAAAGCTATCAGCCAACTGGTGCGTAATGTTGTATTATTTACTTGCCAAAGCCAATTTTTCACAGTTGGCACTTGGCGAGTGTTAATTTTGGACCCTGGAATTAAGTCATATACTGCTTCACACTCATAAATAGATGAACTTGTTTTTCTCCTGTGTTTGTAGGAACGCCATCTTTAAGCAGTTCTGGTACTGTGATGGTGCTGGTTGGTGATGTGAATGATAATATTCCATCATTCAGCTCAATGTCTTTCCACACGACCATTCCTGAAGATGCGCCCACTGGAACAGATGTCCTGTTGCTCAACAGCTCCGATTCAGACATGGGACTCAATGGAGTGATCAGGTACGACACGCAAACAAAATACTATAGATTGAAGCCAAAATTCTCAAATGTTTTTTTAACAATTTTGTCATCAAACGTTTAGTGATGCACACACACACAAACACACAGCACTACCTGTTAGTTCCACTTTATCAAAAACATGCTAATGAGGATGATAATGAAGTATGACAGACAGATCAGAGCCCAGTGGGGGGCAGCGGGACAGTGAGGGGCTTCAGTTCTTAATTCACAGAACCAGCTTCATGCATCAGCACGACGTCATCATTCTCACCGATCATGAACTGGCGTGAGGCGGACGATGCGTGACTGTGGACGGTGATGTTGTCATCTCGCTAGGGTTGTTTTTCACACTTTGTTCTGTAATTTGTGGAATTCCCGTCTCACTGACACAAGTGCACAGTGAAGTTGCCATGTGTGCATGTTACTGTCAGAACGAGTTTGTGTCACGGGCCCCGAAAGTGAACCTCACTGAAACTCAAAGCAGCATGGGAAAGGCTCAAATGGGGTGTTTTTGATCAGGGCTGGTTCACAGCTGAGAAAACATGCTGCTGGAATTATGAAAGAATCTGAAAGATGAATAAAGAATTAATATTCCTGCCGCCCGTATGATAAGATACTTGGCGAACAAAGTTCTGAATTCTTGCTTATGAGGAATGTGTGTTGGGGCAGGTGCTGACACTGTACAGACCGAAACATGCAGCTTTCCTGTAGCTCAAATGGTTGAACATGGAGCTAGCTATGCCAAAGTCATGGGTTTGATTCCAAGGGACAGCGAGCACTGTGTGAGGGGTTGACAAATATCATTGTTTGGTCTCCATGCATAAACTGAATCTGTTGGGTTTGTGATTTACAGTTACAGTCTCAGTGGTGGGGACGGTCAGTTCTCTATCAACCCATCCACAGGCCTGATCATCACCAGCTCCTTGCTGGATCGAGAGGCACGGGCGAGTTACCAGCTGCTGGTGGTGGCAACGGACGGTGGACAGCCCACTCCACTCTCCAGCTCTGCCACAGTGTCTGTGGTTGTGGCCGACGTCAATGATAACCCTCCACGGTTTCACCATCATCCATATGTTACGCACATACCTGCTTCTACTTCCACAGGTGCATCTTCTGTGGCAGGGGTTAATGGTTTCATTGGGTTGTTGTCTGTCTGATCAGCATCTAATCACTTCTGTTCTGTTTTTTTGCAGGCTCACTGGTCTTTGCGGTCACAGTAACAGATGAAGACTCCGGCTCAAATGCTCAACTTCACTATTCGCTCACTGGACGCAATTCAGAAAAGTTCAAGATAGACCCTATCAGAGGTGCCATTACTGCCAATGAAAAACTCACAGGGAGTTCAGAGGTCACCTTCACGGTCCACGTAAAAGATGGAGGCACCAACCCCAAAACAGACAGCACAACTGTTACGGTTCGCTTTGTTACTGGAGGAGGCTTTCCCCATATTAGAATCAAGGAAAAAGCCTTCACCTTCCCAGAAAACCAACCTACAAACACTGTTGTGACTAAGGTGACCGGATCTTCACCCAGGGCAGGTCCTTTATCGTACTACATTGCAAGCGGAAACCTGGACAATGCATTCCACATAGATCAACTTTCAGGAGAGCTGTCTATCAAAAAGCCTCTGGACTATGAGAATATTGAGAAGTACGTCTTGTGGATAGAGGCCCGAGACCAAGGCTTTCCTCCTTATTCAGCCTATGAAAAAGTAGAGATCGCAGTTCTGGACGTTAACGACAACCATCCTACTTTTGAGCAAGAACCGTTCCACGCTGAGATTTTAGAAAACCTCTCACCTCAACGTGTGCTGATAGTATCTGCGTTCGACCAGGACAGTGGACCAAATGGGCAACTGGAATATGCCATCATTGAAGGCAACCAAGAAAACAGCTTCAGCATCAACCGAGCAACTGGTGAAATCCGCACAACACGACCACTGGATCGAGAGAAGGCCGCTCAGTATTCTTTGAGAGTGAAGGCAACGGATAGAGGCAGTCCTCCTAAAAGCACGGCAGTCAAAGTCTTGATCAGTGTGCTGGATGTCAATGATAATGCTCCCAGATTCTCCAAAATCTTTAGTGCCACTGTACCTGAAAATGCACCAGTGGGCTTCACTGTTACCCGAGTAACCACCACCGATGAAGATGCAGGAGCTAACGCTATAAGCCGATACTCCATCAGTGATGCAAGTCTTCCCTTCATTATCCACCCCAGCACAGGAGATATCACCATCAGTAGGCCTCTGAACAGAGAGGACACAAACCACTATATTACCAAAGTCTCAGCACACGATTCAGGATGGACTGTTAGCACAGATGTCACAATATTTGTGACAGATGTGAATGATAATGCTCCAAAATTTAGCAAGCCATCATATTACCTGGACTATCCTGAGCTGACAGAGGTCGGATCCATTGTGACTCAAGTCTCTGCCACAGATCCTGACGAGGGTTTCAATGGTAAAATATTTTACTTTATCAGATCGCAAACAGAGCACTTCCGAATCAACTCCAGTTCTGGTGAGATCTTCATTAAACAGCAGCTCAGGTATCAAAACTCCAGTGGCCACAATAACATCAATGTAAACCGTCATAGTTTCATCGTCACCGCTTCAGACCGAGGCATCAAGCCGCTCATGAGCGAAACCACAGTTATCATAAATGTAGTTGACAGCAATGATAACCCACCCACATTTGAATTTTCTTTTTACTTTACTCCTGTCACTAAAAGTGTAAAGGTCGGCACCAGACTCCTCAAAGTCACAGCCCATGATCACAAGGACTTTGGCCTGAACTCTGAAATAGAGTATGCAGTATCTGGAGGAAACAGTTCCAGCAAGTTCCGCTTGGATAAACAAACTGGATCGGTCACAGTAGCATCCTCGCTCACCGCAGACACAAATAAAGTTTACCTGCTTGAAATAACAGCAAGTGACAAAGGGAACCCTCCTCTGTCCGCTAAGACAACAGTCAAAATAGCTGTTACAGAAGAGAACCATCATACTCCAGAGTTTTCACAGAACCAAGTAACAGTTACTGTGTCTGAAGGCCTGACTGTCGGCACAGCCATTCGCACACTTTCAGCACGAGATAAGGACAAGGACAAACAAATGAATGGCCTAGTTACGTACAACATCTCCTCAGGTAATGACGATGGCTTGTTTTCAATTAACAGTCAAACGGGCGTTTTATCCCTGGCAAAGCCACTGGATTACGAAACAAAACAGAAGCATGAACTCAGAGTTTCTGCAACAGATGGTGGGTGGATTGCCAAAACAAGCTATGTTACAGTTAATGTCCTAGTTACTGATGTAAATGATAACCCTCCTGTGTTCGACCCTGTGGAGTACTTCCCAGTCGTGCAGGAAAATGTCCCCAGTGGCACTACTGTGGTAAAAATGAATGCAACTGATAAAGACTCTGGGCCAAATGCCCTGATGGCATATGTCATTCAGTCATCAGACAGTGACTTGTTCATAATTGATCCCAACACAGGAATCATCACCACACAAGGTTTCCTAGACTATGAAGCTAAACAGGTGTATCACCTTACCATCAAAGCCTTTAATGTTCCAGATGAAGAACGATGCAGCTTCGCATATGTTAACATTCAGCTGAGAGGTGCTAATGAATACGTCCCTCGTTTTGTGTCAAAGCAGTACTACTTTGAGGTGTCAGAGGCAGCATCTAAAGGCACAGTCGTTGGGGAGGTGTTTGCTAGTGACAGAGACTTGGGAGAAGATGGCATAGTGTATTACTTGATTTTTGGCAGAAGCAGAAAAAGGGGTTTTAGCATTAATAAAAAGACAGGCCAGATCTACGTCGCAGGACCGCTTGATCGTGAAAAAGAAGAAAAGATTTCTCTCAAAGTCCTAGCTAAGAATGAAGGAAGCATAAGAGGAGCAGATATTGATGAGGTGCTTGTGAACATTACGATTCTTGATGCCAATGATCCTCCTGTATTCACCCAGGAGCTCTATGATGTTCAGGTGAATGAGGGACTATCCCCTGGAGGCCTGGTTACATTCGTCAGTGCTGAGGATTCGGATTCTGTCCCTAGCTGGAGCAGATTCACCTATGCCATCACTGCCAACTATGAAAAAAGTACCTTCACCATCAACCCTCAGACAGGACAGGTGTCTGTGGCATCAGAACTGGACCGGGAAACTGTCCCTGTTTACAACCTCACCATCCTGGCAGTAGACTCAGGTTCTCCAGCTGCCACCGGCAGTGCCATTTTAATTGTGACCCTGGAGGATATTAACGATAATGGACCAACTTTGGAGACTACAAGTGGGGAAGTGATGGAGAACCAGAGGGCAGGAACACCAGTGATCACGCTCAGCTCAAGTGATCCAGATCTTGCACCAAATCAAGGCCCATTCTCCTATAGCCTTGTCAGCACTGGAGCAGCATCCAGCTACTTCACCCTCAGTTCAACTGGAGAGCTGACCACCAGCCGGGAGATAGACCGAGAGCAGATAAGTGATTTCTACCTCTCTGTGATTATCAAAGACTCTGGTATTCCTCAGATGTCCTCAACAGGAACTGTCCACATCAAAATCAATGATCAGAATGATAATCCCTCAGAGTCTCGCTCCGTAGAGGTCTACGTGCATTATTTTGGAAATATGTTCCCTGGAGGATCACTGGGGGTGGTAAAGCCACAGGATCCAGATATACAAGACACGTTCCACTGTTCTCTGACTCCATCAACGGCTGTCCTCTTCAACATTCCCACAGGAACCTGTGACCTCCGCTCAAACAGTCGCTCCACAGATGGCACCTTTGATATATCTGTGCGTAGCAGCGATGGCATCCATGAGGCTGTCAACAGCCATGTGCGTGTTTTCTTTATTGGATTCAATAATGCCACAGTGGACAACAGCATCCTGATACACGTCATCTCCCAAAGCGCCAGTGATTTCCTTACTAATCACTACCTCAGTTTCCTGCGCATCGCCAATTCACAGCTAGCTGGTTTGGGCACTGGAGTCCAGATCTATGGGGTGTTTGAACTAAACAACAGCACTTTCCTTATGGCAGCTGTCAAACGTGGTCATGGGCAGTACGTCAATCCAAGTGGAGTCGCCACTTTCTTCCAGAGCATCAAGGAGATTCTGCACAGACAAAGTGGAGTTAAGATTGACTCTGTGGACTATGATCCCTGCTCCCACAATCCGTGTCAAAATGGGGGGAGCTGCAAGAGGCGGCTGGGTGTTGGCTCAGACATGAAGACGGAGGAGAGTGTCCCGGTCATCCTCGTCTCAAATCGCCCCCTACAGCCATACGCTTGTAACTGCAGGCCAGGTTATGCCGGTGCCCTCTGCGAGACTGACATCGATGAGTGCCAGCCAACACCTTGCCACAATGGAGGAACTTGCCACAACTTGGTCGGCGGATTCTCTTGTTCCTGTCCAGAAGGTTTCACTGGGATGGCTTGTGAGAGGGACATCAACGAGTGCCTTTCGAACCCCTGCCAGAATGGGGCACTATGCCAGAATTATCCCGGTGGCTTTAACTGCCTGTGCAAATCTGGATTTGCAGGTACAGTCTGTCATCTATTTGCTTTTTACCAGTAACACAACCACAGATGTTAGGCTAGGCACATACACACAGCTTGCACATCGTTTTAGGCCAAGAAAAATATTTGCTTCTAAGTAATTGGAGGGGTGTTGTAACCCAAGCATACAGTGGCCATTGCCAAAAGCAGTTTGCTGTTAGGGTCACAGACTGGGAGGTATAAGCTGTGATGCAGATCAACTTGTCATGTTTACTGTAATGAAAATAGATGATCAGATTTTCACCCTAATAAGGACACGGCCGTAAACCACCTTCAGATTTCACCTGTGCTGTGTAGTTAAACTGCTTGTACTCTGTTTTTACTCTAAAGAGGTCTCTTGAGTTTAAGGACCATCTGGCTTTGTTGGGTCCATTTTAAGTCATAGAATATTTTTTTTTATTTTGTATTCATTTTTAAATGCAGAGATCATTTGTAAAGCTAGCCAGCTCAAGCCATTTCAGAGTTTTTAAATCTTTAATGATGACATAATTGGAGTGACTTTAAAATCAGTTGGTGTATGTAAGTATGGATCCGGCTGTGATGTTTGCCTTTGAATAAGCATGTGTGATAGCCTTAGCTTGAATCGGCTCTGTTTGGGCAGGTGTTGGCTGTAGCTTTTGGACATTGTTTTCAAAATGGAGCCATTACGATTATTTTTTTATTCTGATCACAACAAATGACTGCAGTGTGTTCACATCGGAGGCCGCAGATAAATGGGGCTGCTAGAGAATTACACCTATTGACTTACAGTAGTGTGCATGCACTCCAGCTGAACCCCACACTTCCTGTTTTGCTAGCAGTGATGGAGTTTTCGTTCTTCATGCCATTTTTCTTAGAGCGTTACATACAGAGAGCAGAAAAGGAAAGAACTCAACTTAAGTTTATGCTTGATCATTTGTATGTTCAGCCATTATGTTTTTGTCATAGTCTTCAGAGTATTTGTGTTTTATATCAGTACCTCTCTTATGGGTCTCCCAGAACCAATTGCAGCTGATGTGCATGTACACAGACAAAGCTTCATGACAGACCTTCACCCTCTCTTTCTTAGAAACTTGGGTCCGTTTACAAGGTGTAAGTCTTCGAGCTGTTTGTATTAGAAAGATAAAGTGCACCAGAGATGTGAGAGAGAAAGAAAACACAGGGGATTCTGGGAGCCCCGTGTGAGAACAGTCATTTTCGTGTGTCATGCTCACCTCATTGTTTTCATTGGTGTTGTTTCATGAATTCAGGGAAAGCCTGTGACTCCATCATCAATTACTGTGAGTGTAACCCCTGTTTTAATGGGGGTTCCTGCCAGAACCGGGTGGAAGGCTATTACTGTCATTGTCCTTTTGGTAAGTCATCATTTCAGCCCCGGGACCAGTTCAAGGTCCTTCAACTGCTGCTATTAATTCTGGACTGTGTGCAGAAACAAATGTATGGTAGATTACAGAAAATGAATTGCAGTGTGAATTTGTCAGTTGACACACACTGTCGTAAATGTTCAACCGTATTTTTTACGTGCTGTACCGTGAATGTCATGAATTTTTCACTGCATGAAATTCTTACGCCGCCGACAGAGAGTAAATCACTCTACTTCTGCAGGTGTGTTTGGAAAGCACTGTGAACTGAACAGCTACGGATTTGAGGAGCTGTCTTACATGGAGTTCCCCAGCCTCGACCCCAACAACAACTACATCTACATCAAGTTTGCCACACTGAAGGAAAACGCTTTGCTCATGTACAATCACGACAACCAGACCGGCGACAAGGCAGAGTTCCTGGCCCTCGAGATCTTAGAAGGCAGAATGAGGTTCTCGTTTAACTTGGGGAGTGGCACTTACAAGCTCATGACGACCATCAGGGTCTCAGATGGCCAGTTCCACACGGTCATCGGCAGGAGGGCAGGAATGGTGAGTCCTTTCGATCTGTCTGTTAATCTGTTTGCAAGAAACCTTCAGATTGGTCACAAAGATGTTTTACTCTGATCTCGCAGGTTTGAAGATAAAGTGTTTTTGTTCAGATGGTTACTCTAGTCGATTTACTAGTTGGTTGTGTTTTATTTATGCATCCTTTTCTGAGATACCAGTCTAAACTCTTTAACTCTTCTGGACTTGCTGCATAAAATCTCTCTGTAAAAAACACTTCAGCATGGCATTACTGCAACACCATAACGTTGTGTGATCCGACTAATGTTCCCTGAAAAATATGCTGTAAGTCTGTTGTGGGCCTCACTGAAGGCCTGAGAGTAGAGTTGTGTGTCATGAGAACCCAGCCCCTACGGTGCAATAAAGAGAACCTGATCTGTGTGTTTGGAGAAGCGGATGTGGGTCACTTCGGTGGTTCTGTAGGGCCGTTTTCTTTTTTCTTCTTTTTTTTTCTAGACGTGAGCTTGAGCAGATGTTAAAGTCATACATGGCCCCTTGTTTTCCCCCGTGGAGAAAGCTGAACTCTGACAGTCAAGGGTACTTTTGTTTAGTTAAGATGTCCTAGTTTACCCCACAGCCAGATGCGTTGGATTTTGGCACGCTGTCTCGAGCTCATGGTTTTGTTTTTTGTTTTGTTTACTGGCGAGTCGGAGTTTATCGAGAGCTGGTCTACGGCCACGTTTCTGCTCTTCTCCACTTACATTTCACTGCTGGTCATATATTCTCTATATAACCATGTATGTGACAAATAAAAAATATTGAATCTTGAATCTTCACTTGTTTCTGCATTGTGTGTTGCAACTTAGAAGGTTGATGAATTATAAATAGAAAAGTAGAAATCTGCTCGCACACCCACATGCAGCATGTGTTTCCAAACACCGTCCAAAAAAGCAGCTCAAAGCCAAATCTATTTAATACACAGACTCTGAGAATGCTCTTTGTTTTGTTTTTTTTTATTTTATAAATGGCCAAAACATTCTTAAAGTAATATTTATGAAATGTTCCTATAACTTTATTAATATTTGATATACGTTCTCATAACGTTGAGAAAACGTTCTGAGATCAACATTATTGGAAATTCCTTATGATGTTATTTTGTCCTTGAACGTTCAAAGAAACGATTTGTAACCTTTAAATAACAAACATTCTACTCACAACAGGAAAACTAGACATTTAAAAATTTTTAGAATATTAAAAATAAACAATGATACATTTTGGGTGAAAATAAAGTTAGTAGAATGTTGTAGGAAACGTTTTTGTAACCTTTAAATAATGTTCTAATCACGATAAAGAAAGAAAAATCAATGGACATTTCAACATTTTAGAAACATTTTAGAAACATTTCAAAACGATGTACCCACAACATTTTTATAATCTAAATTTGTTACCTGTGTAGAAATCCACTGCCCAATTCATCAAAGTTAACAAGACCATTTAATTAAGTTCTGCTGCAGGAAATTGGTTTTGAGACTCATTTCTGAAAGCAATGCTTTCCTCTGCTGGAAATGCTTTGCAGCGGTGTGTGACTCCTGGAAAAGGGAGTGCACTGTGGTCTGGTTTAGTCTTTTTGAAGTGCAGGGAGGCATTAATGCGATGGCCAGACGCTCGAGCCTCGCAGGAATTCATCTGTATCAGCACTTAGCACAGCTTCAGCAGACGAACAAGTCTCATTTCCATTGTTAGTGTAGGATTTTCTTTTTATAGGCTGAAATTCCTCTATAACGGAAGTGAAGTGTCTGTATTATCTGAACGTTGAGGTCGTGCTGTTGTCTGATGTCAGTCCTGCTTCTCAGTGCCTCTGTACTCTTTGCACCTCCTCCTCCGAGATGTTTTTCTCCCAGATGTCTGCACGGGACTCATAAAGCACCGAGAGGACAGGACAGATCACTGTAGAATGTCTTGCGGTAATTTATTCACCAGCATCTGGGTGTCGTTTTTTTCCATGTAGTATTTTGTAGGCTCAACAAAATACTCAGACTTGACAAATACGTACAGGTCATTTTATTTATGTAATTTAATGTACAAATACATTCCAATAGGTTTTTACTTTGATTTCAAAATGCATATGGATTTCTGAGATTGTTATTGCGAGATGCTGAAGTAGAATACAGTCAAATGAAGATTGAAGTTTGATTTCGAGACTGCCAGTCTCAACCAGTTGCACACAAACATCATGCTGACCTGTTTGTCTGTCTGCTGTGTTAAAGGCTGCGTCGCTCACTGTTGACCTGTGTGGGGAGGAACAGGAACCGGGATACTGTGCCGTCAGCAATGTGGCTGTTCATACCGACTGGTGAGAAACATTCATTATAGAGTCCCTTTTATACTGTATGTCCCAATATAGAGCGCAACAGTGACCACATGCCAAGTGGCCTGGGTTTTGAAGGTATTTTCACTGTTCATTTTCACCACAGAGTCTGAGATGAATCACAATATTGCAATTTTCTAACCAAATAAATACATATATTTGTGTGTGTGTGCATGTTTATGTGGTTTATGAGGACACAAATTTGTATAATAACATGGGTATGACAGGTATTACAACGAGAAGGTGATTTATGAGGACATTTTCAGTGTCCCCGTAATTCAAAAGGCTTATAAATAATTTAGAATGAGTTTTTTTGAAAATCTAAAAATGCAGAAAGTTTCCTGTGAGGGGTAGGTTTAGGTGTAGGGCAATAGAAAATACTCCATAAATCAGTATAAAAGTATAAAACCATTACGCCTATGGAGAGTCCCCATAAACCATAAAAACAAACCTCTGTGTGTGTGTGTGTAAAAATATTTTAATTTAAAGTTTTTTATTATTAATAGTTGTGTTAATTAAAATATAGTATTGGTAGATGATTGGTAGATCTCACTTCAGAATTGTGGGTGTAAGATTATTCACATTATTACAAACGTTTATTTAAAAAATTATTAAAAAGTTGAAATATTGTAAATGTAAAAAAATATTTTAGATAAAAAATATGAAGTATTAAAATGTTCTAAATAAAATATACAATATGTCGTGTGTATATTTCTTCATTGATATGTGGTAATGTTTTTTAATTAAAATATTAAAATTATTGGTAGATTTTTGGCAGATCTCGCTTCAGAATTATGGGTAGTTCTTTAAATAAGAATTTCGAGCATTTAAACACAATTTTTGGAATTCTACGCTGCAAAACTGATTTTCTTAGTATTTTTGTCTTGTTCTCTAGTATAAATATCTAAACATTTTTGAATCAAGATACATTTACTTGAGAAGCAAAATGACTTTAGGTATTAAGTCTTGTTTTCTGAAAATGTATCAATTTTGTTAGTTAGTGCTTTAAACAAAAACAAATATCTGCCAATGGAGTCAGAAAAATAATCTTAATTCAAAGGGAAACAATAGGATTATTCTGACCCCACTGACAGATATTAGTTCTTGTAAATATCACTTAACCTCAGCGCTAACGGTCAATCTGTCTTGAAAGATTATTTTTAACAAATTATTGTTACCGATGAAAATCATGTGCTCTTCTGGAAGCTGAGTGTTGGGCTGCTGTGTCTGATAGCGCTGTCTCGTCTCTCAGGGTTCTGGATGTCCAGCCGAACCGTCTGTCTGTTGGGGGCGTTCGGTCGATTGAAGCCCTCCTGCATCGTCGAGGTCAGGTGGCCACGCATGACTTTGTCGGGTGCATCATGGAGTTTGCTGTCAATGGACGTCCGCTGGAACCGTCTCAAGCTCTGGCTTCACACGGCATTCTGGACAGGTCTGTCACCGAACGCACAAACACAAAACACAATCGTGTCACTGAACGACAGCTCATTCGGCTCTCTGGATGTCTGTGAATGCTAAATTAAAGCTGGCTCCAGCTGGTGTGAATTTTCTGGAGCAGGTTGAATAGTGTTGATTTTATTTCAGGTGACTGATGCTTTGAAATTAATGCAGCTCTTTTGCATTTATGCTAATGTTGGAGTCATGGACTCTTGTGTCGCTGAGATGTTCCCCGCTGAAGGTTTTGTGCGTCTTTCGTCCACAGATGCCCCAGGTTAGAGGGTGCGTGTGTCGCCGAGCCCTGCAGACATGGTGGGACATGTCTGGACATGTGGTCGTGGCAGCAGTGCCAGTGTATTGAGGGTTTCACTGGACCCACCTGTGAGAAATGTGAGTTTTTCCAGTCTGGAACGATTAAATCTAATATTTTATTAACCATTGGTTATTCATGCATTGGTCAATTTTTAGATTTTGGGCTATGTCCTCAGACAATTGGAAAAGAAATACACAAACACTTACATACACCAAAACTTAGTTTTATTCCTATCCATATTCTGAAGCTTTTTACTGAGGGGTTTGTTCATATATCATTCACACTGATTTATACAACATTTTATGTCTCAAAACATATGGATTTCAATTCTAATCCATATCTTTAAAAAGTTTTTTTTTCCACTTCAGCAGCACTTACATACACCAAAACTTAGAGTTTTATTCCTATCCATATTCTGAAGGGTTTTACTGAGGGGTTTGTTCATATATCATTCACACTGATTTATACAACATTTTATGTCTCAAAACATATTGAAAATGTTTGTTTTCTGGCTGCTGACAGTATTTTCTGATTTATGGAGTGATAAAAAGAGAAATCCACAATCCCCTCTGGAAAAAAACTTTAACTCTAATATTTAAACAGAATCAAACAAATTTTGAACCTGGCTTTATCCACATTTCTGTTCTGAAAATGTACGCAAATGAATGCATATTTAATTTGGACAGTGCCTTAATTTGCATATTTAAATGTAACATTATGAAAACTTGTAATAAAAAATTTTTGGGAAAACAATTTGACCTTATTCACCTGTAGTGTCAGTTATACTTTGAAAAGCATGACTCCACCAAAATATAAATGCACTTAATAATGTGTGTTTTCCATTTGCCAGAGCAACAAAAGAGGCATGACATGAGAACCAACCAGTCAAAAGCATGTTGTTTGGTTTCTATATGTGCTGCTGAAATCCCATTGGTCCAAATTCCTGGTCTTCAAAACAGTGTATTAAACACCAAATATTTTATGTGAGAGTTAAGAATGGTCATTTTTTCAGATTCACTTTGTGTGCTTCTCTCAGACATCACCGCAGATACAGCTGTATCTCTGGACGGTTCGGGTCGTTTGGACTACGGTTTGAGTCAGAGCCGCAAGAGAGATGTGTTGTTGGCACGAGCGCTGCAGGACCCCGGCAGACCCATCCCGGAATACAGCAGCCTGGAGCTGAAGTTCCGCACGCGCAGTGGCTCTGGAACGCTGCTGCACGCACAGGAGAGCTCCAACTACACCACCATCAGGGTAAGTGTGTGTGTGTGTGTGTGTGTGTGTCTCCAGCTCCGGGCTCACAGCCAACCGCCTGAACTCGCTCCCCCTGGCCTCTCCATCCACTGTAGCTGCTGACAGGACATCCCCTAACTAGTGAGGCCGCAGAGAGCTACTACTCAAAATGCACAAACACATTCACAGTATCTCACAGCACAGTGTCGCACATCTCAGATTTGTTCTTTGTTCAAGACGGATTTTCCAATTCCAGATTTTGTAGGTCTGTAAATAATTTTTTCTTCTCCACTGCAGTTATTTTCTGTTGCCCCTTGTTTTTCCCAAACAAGATTGTTTTTCCATTTCAGTAATGAAACATTCAGATTAGCACATGCATTACATAGCTCTGTTACAAAATCTAGTGAGCTGCCTACTTAGACAGCATGTCCAAGCATGCACAAGCTTCAGTCTGGATCCAGCCCTTACAAAGACCTGAGATGACCGAACACCTAGAAGAGATGATGCCAACCCCTCAGAGGACCTCAGATGATGCCAACCCTGAAACAACATACACAACTACCACATTTTGCTACAAGTTTGATTGCATCATATAATAATTGCTGTTAATAGTGTGCATCGTCTGTTTGATTTTGTCATTAACTGAATTTTATCGTACATTTCTGCCATATGTACATCAATTTGACAGTCACCACTGACAAGCTACTACTAAATATATTGTAGAAACTTAATTTCCTGTAACGCTGCTTTGCAACAATTTGTATCGTGAAAAGTGCTATACAAATAAACTTAAATTGAATTGTCAATGTTTTGGCAATGTATTACTTAGTCATTTGAATTGAACTGAAATGTTAAGGTATCATAGATGCACTTCAGATGCTATATATTATTATTACATAATATTATAGTATTTATGTTTTAAATTAGCTTTTATTTTTATATATTCAGTTTTAATTTTTAAGTTTAGTTTAAGTGTTAATTTTGTTATGCTCTTTGTCATTTATCTTTTATTATTCTTATTAAACTTTATTTTTCAGTTTTAGTCATTTTAGAACTTGAGTCAGATACCAAGGAAGCATTTTCAAGTAAAATTTTTCCATCAGATATTTAATTTCAGCTTTATTTCAGTTACCGAATATGTTTTAGTAGTTGTAGTTTACAATTACAATACTGCTTGGTAAGACTGTCAAATAAGTTAGCATTGCATGTGTCTTTTACTGAGAAGGCAATCCCAGAATGCACTTGGGGGGGGGGGACAAACAAACTTGCAGACAAATAAAAATATTTATCTAATTAAACTAGAGTTTGGAACAGAGCTGATATGAGTCTTTTAACATTGTAGAAATGCTGCAAGATGCAATGCGTCATACTGCATGTTAGATCCTGCATTATATTTGAAATGCTTACATCACTTTCATTAATCTTCTCTCTCTCTCTGTCTCAGTTGAAGAACGGTTTGCTGCAGTACGTGTCTGACGCTGGTGTCGCCGGTAAGGTGGAGAGGATTGTGGGAGATGTTGTTTTGTCTGACGGTCAGTGGCACACACTCCTGCTTCAGAGAAACGGATCATCCACCATTCTGCGGATCGACGAGTCCAGCTCGAGAGTCATTCTGCACAATACGCAGGACTTCGGAGGGATTGACGTGCACACGCTGTCTCTCGGGGGCGTCCCGACCCGATCAGCTCAACAGAAAACCAGCCCAGGTCAGTTCCATCAGTCCACGTTCTGTAAAACCTCTTATAATGATGGCTACAAGTATCATTATAGAGCTTAAACCCAGACTACAATGCAAACATCCCGGTGGCATTTGCACTGCAAGCTGCTTCCAATAAAATATGTAAATATTTTAATCAACAGAAATGACACTGACAAAATTGCATGTTATGAACTAAACAATTTTACCATTGAGAAACGTCTGACTCGCAGGCAATGGATGTGTCATAGTTGGCGCGCTTATTCAGATTTTCTGCCCGAATCAAAACTTGGGAGTGTTTTTCCTCTACGAGTGAAAGTGACAGGAGAAAGTTCAGAGAAAGTGTGCATGCTTGTGTGCTAACTGGGTTAGACAGCAGACTGCCAACAGGAAAGAATGTCTGAACTTTCCTCTGCAGGACCTGCACAGTGCAGCAATCCACAGAGCTGAACTATTGTCCATTAAAAACAGTCACTTGTAGACACTTCAGACTAGAGCACTGAAACAGAGAAAAGACACCGTTTAGCCTGCGAAAAGACTGGAATCTTTATTAGAGCTCCAGACAGGCTGTTCGGTGAAGTCCCATAGGATAGGGAAAAAATCTTTAAAAATCTTTGTTTTTTCTTAAGACTTCTTCTCAGATGGTTTTCCTGAGAAAAGAACCAGTAATCTCACTCATGTCTGTAGTTTCTGAAGAGATCGAAATGTTTCAAACTGTGCTCAGATTTACCAAGATTCAAACATCGTTCAGTATGAACATGATCTGAGCTGCTAGCCACATTACTTTTGTCAACTATTGACTAACTTTTGTCTGTATCAGATGTTTCTCCTGAAATTCCTTAGGTGAAATAAAACAAAGTTGACATTTAAATGAAACCTTACTGAGGAACCTCTGAGCAAAAAGATCACCAGCTGATGTTCATATATGGTAACATTGAGCTGTTGGGTTGTAACCCACTCTTTACTGGCAAAATCTAAATATCAAATGAAATTATCCCAACTATTTTAATGTAAACATGTTTTGTGCTCGTAAGGTCATGCCATTTCTGGATTCGAGGTCTGGAAGTGGTAGAACGTGAAATAGAATTGGGCCAATCTGTTTCGTCCTTCTAATAAACAGAACCAAATGTTCTGTGTTTGAATGGGGCATAAATTCAATAAACATCGATTTACATTGTTGACGGTTCGTCGTTAAGCAACATGATAGTGCAGGTCTAAATCAGTGACATTAAGATTTTTCCCAGATGGCGTGGTCTTAAAAGGTTGCATTTTTGGCTTGCAGGGTACTTGCTGAAGAGAAGAGTCTGTTTCTTTTCCTCCTGATGTAAAAGCAACGATTTGTTGATGTGTTTCCCAGGGGGAGAATTTTGTTCTACATTGGCTGATGCTACAGCAATCAGAAACCCAAACAAAATGTCTCCCTGTGTAGCGTTAAACTAAGCAATGCCCATTTCTTCCAGTCAGTCTCATTTCTTTGTCATGTTGGGGAAGCTCTAGTCTCTCATGTAGCCAAACAATTGACTTGCAGTGTACATTTTGTTGCAGTTTGCAGCTTTTGTCCAAAAATCCAACCATTTAAGACTAACTAACAAACTGTGACTGATTACTTTTTATCCACCTTTTAGGAGCGGGTACATCTAAAAATAGTACTCAACCATTTCTAAGTTGATTCGAGTTAATATTCCTCTCTCTGTGTTTCTAGGTTTTGATGGGTGTTACGCCTATGTGAAATATAATGGAGAGATGCTCCCTTTCAGCGGTGAACACAGGACCGTCTCCATTTCCAAGACTGATCCCTCTGTGAAGATCGGCTGTCGTGGCCCAAATCTATGTGAGAGCAGCCCTTGCTGGGACGGGCTGATGTGTGTGAACCAGTGGTACACCTACCAATGTCTCCCACCAGGTGACTGCGCCTCTAACCCCTGCCAGCACGGTGGCAGCTGCGTGCCCGGCGCTCGTGGAGGCTTCACCTGTGCTTGTGAGGAGTTCTACACGGGCAGAGTCTGCGAGAGCCGGGTGGCCTGTTTGGGAGTCCGGTGTCCACAGGGTATGGAGTGTAAGGTGGGAGCCAATGGTGGGTTCACCTGTAGTCCGAGCGCCACCACCGAGGAGATGGTTCTGCCCATCTGGGCAGTTCCTGCAATTGTGGGCAGCTGCGCTACTGTCTTGGCATTGGTGGTTTTGAGTCTCATACTATGCAACCACTGCAAGGGTCGCAAGAAAACCAAAGTGCCAAAGGATGAGAAGAAAACAAAGGAGAAGAAGAAGAAAAAGAAAGGCAGCGAGAATGTGGCATTCCATGATCCGGACAACATTCCGCCTTACGAAGATGACATGACAGTCCGGAAACAGCCAGAGGGAAACCCCAAACCTGACATTATAGAGCGGGAGAATCCCTACCTGATCTATGACGAAACTGACATTGCACACAACAATGAAACCATTCCCAGCGCCCCCTGTGCTCCATGTGCAGGACCAGAAGCAGACATGGAACACTACGACATTGACAATGCCAGCAGCATTGCTCCATCAGATGCTGACATCATCCAGCACTACAAACACTTCCGTAGCCACACTCCCAAGTTTTCCATTCAGCGCCACAGTCCGTTGGGATTTGCCCGCCAGTCCCCTCTTCCACTAGGTGCCACCAGCTACACCTACCAGCCGACCTACACCCAGGGGCTCCGCTCCACACCCCTCAGCCATTCAGCTTGCCCCACACCCAATCCCCTGTCACGCCACAGCCCAGCACCCTTCACCAAGCCATCCTCCTTCTACCGCAACACTCCCACCCGTGAACTCAACTTGGCACGCCGTGAGGGCAGCCCTCTCGATTTCCACAGCGATGTGTGCCAGCCTGGTATGTTCAACTACGCCACCCGATTGGGTAGGCGCAGCAAGAGCCCTCAGACCATGGCGGGCCATGGCTCTCGGCCTGGGAGTCGTCTCAAGCAGCCAATCGAGCAGATTCCATTGGAGAGCGGCCCACCTGTGGGGTTGTCCATAGAGGAGGTGGAACGCCTCAACACACCTCGACCCAGGAATCCCAGCATCTGCAGCGCCGATCACGGGCGCTCGTCATCTGAGGAAGACTGCCGTCGACCACTCTCACGTGTCCGGAACCCTGCGGATGGCATCCCTGCTCCGGAATCCTCCTCCGAGAGCGACTCCCATGACTCCTTCACCTGCTCGGAGATGGAGTACGACCGCGAGAAACCAGTTCTGAGTGTTGCATTTACCAGCAGCAGCAGACCGCTGATGCTGGATACCATATTATGAGTCACTTATGTTAAGATAAACAGTAATCCACATGTAAACGAATAGTTGTGCAACCTCTTCCAACAAACACACCAACAACACAAAGTCTGGAAGAGGAAGCTGGGAGAGGTGCGGCACTACCACGAACACACATGCGAAGTGAATCAGTTCTAGTCCATCTGTCTGTTCTGAGTTCAGAGTGCTAAAATAAAGTTGGTCATAATGAAGGGTCGTTGTGACCCTCCGGCGCTGCAGCCCTGGAGTCTGGGCTCCGTCCATTTGGCTGATTTTCCTGTGTGTTAGTGCCTCGACCTCTAGGAAACACATCCATGAGCTTGGTGTGAAGAGCAGGGCCATATTTGGCTCCGGTTCTGCACACTCCAGCCAAAATAGAAAGAAAAGCTCTGGAACTGTCCGCCAAGAACGGGTGTTTCTCATCCTGAATAACCGGCTGCCGTCTAAAGCAACAAAACCTCCAGATATGAGATTAATGAGGCCTCTGCCTTCTGGATATTTGAGGATTTACATTTGGGAGCACGGACACTATGACTTTGAATGGTTATTTCTATTGGTGTATTGCAGGTTTCGTACAAACACGCTTGACCCGTCTAACGCAATGCCCACATGCTATGAGACTATGAACTTGTGTACATTTTGTATTAATGTGGAAGCTCTCGGAAGTCAATGTTCTCTGTTGTTACGTGTTTTTTGTTGTCGTTTTATTTTGTTCAGTGTTTTTAAAATGTACTGTTTCTACTTTTTTTACTGTTTATTAACTTAAAGGTTCATTTTTATGGATATTTTTCATATGCTGGAAATCTGCTATGAGACTATGAACTTGTGTACATTTTGTATTAATGTGGAAGCTCTCGGAAGTCAATGTTCTCTGTTGTTACGCGTTTTTTGTTGTCGTTTTATTTTGTTCAGTGTTTTTAAAATGTACTGTTTCTACTTTTTTACTGTTTATTAACTTAAAGGTTCATTTTTATGGATATTTTTCATATGCTGGAAATGAGGTTCTTACTTTCAGCGGAAGTAAGATTGAACTTCTTTTTTTTACATTTGTTACTTATGTAACATCAGTATTTTCCACTATGATCCGTTTTTTGTTCCTCAATGGAAAGCATATTTACACTGTTTGAATCGTTCCCTGTCCCCTATATAGTGCACTACGTGCCATTCACTGTACAGAAAATACTAATTCTGTGGACAAGTGACCGATTTCAGCCGCGGCTTCAGCGTCTATTTTATAGTGTAGGGGGCGGGGCTTCAGATTCTAGAGAGCATTTGATTGGACAGAAAGTTTGATGAGAAGCTGAAGTACGATGTGACGTCAATAAAATCGTTGAGCCATTTTGGCGGAAGTGACGAACTGCAAGCTTTGAATGCTTATATCTTCTAAATGCGAATTTTGTCACTGTTTTGGAGCACACTGCCTTATAGATAACCTTAAGACTAACATATTGATACTAACACCCAAAAAACGTTAATTTTGATTTCATGGGAACTTTAATGAATCAAACCGATTGACAGGTCTGATCAACTATCTGAAGTGTTTAAATCGGATTAAAATGATTTCACAAAACCCATCTTCTGTAACGACAAACATCATGAAAACGTATTGCTCATTAACTGTGAGAACCCTGTTAAAACGTCGCGTCAGAAGCAGCCTGATGAAGTTTAATAAGCTAAACGGTAAATTCAGTTGGATGTTTTTACAAGAGAACATCTTTCAGGATGGTTTCAGAAAGTTATCTGACACTGTCTGTACACACCCTCAATTCTCTCTGGAACGTTGTGAAGTTTGGATCCGTCTGATTCCCAAAATCCCATTCCAAACACGTCCCATCCAGCTCCTGTCCATATGTGTGAGGACACTTCTGAGGACGTCTGTGTGCCATCTGTCAAACACGTGGCATGTAATCAGCTGATTTTGTGCTTGAATGACATAAAGGTGACTTGACTTGACTTGACAGTGGTGTATTAGAGGTAAAATATGATATAAATACTGTTGGGTTTCTGGCACAAACCGATCGTTTCGTGTGTTAAGACATCAACGTGTCGTCACGAGCCGCAGGGTTTAATTTGGATTTGTCTGTGCATGTTTTTTTTACTCTCGTAGATTTTGTTACCATTGCCATGCATTATACGACTGATAGACTGCAACGGCTGGAGTTAAAAATCATAATATGTGTTCTACTGAAGAAACAAAGTCACCTACATATTGCATGCCCTGCAGGGGGTAAGCAGATGAACTATCAGAAGAACAGGGTGAACTATCCCTTTAACGCGTTAGCTCCTGCGTACCTAACTAGTCTTCTACCACGCTACAATCCATCACGCTCCCTAAGGTCGCAAAATTCTGGACTTTTGGTAGTACCTAGGATAGCAAAGTCCACTAAAGGAGGTAGAGCTTTTTCATAAACTTAAATTGAATTGAATTAAAGCACATATGACTTCAGAAGTCCTTAATTATAGTTCATGCTCAACCAGCAACATGTGAACTCATGAAACGCAGCATTGAACTCCGTGAAGATTGTTTTGTATAAAAGCATCTGCAGCATAAATATAAAGATTTGTCTGCTGATTATTCTCACTCAAACGGGCCTAAGCTTTATGAGGGAAACCAGAAAGTTGAAAATTAGTTCTGAAGAATCATATCAGGCTCAAACGAAATAGACAAAGTGGTGAAATTATATTAAAGCAGGGAGGAAAAGACAGAAAGTAAGCGCTGATTTATGAGAAAAGAGTGTGAGAACCAATGTCTTCATCAACACTCCTCACAGAACTGAGCTTTATACTCAACAACAGCTGCTCCCTGTCAGCTGATTGGAGCACAGGGAGAGAGGGGCGGGGCTAATACTGATTGCCTCTCCTTCTACACCAATCAGATGATCTAGAAATTATTCAAATATTAATTTAATTAGGTCACATACACACACACACAAACAACTGCATTGTCATACATACTGACCAAAATATGTTGATAAAAATAACAACATATTCCCAGTCATAAATATTTATGGCTGCCACATATTTCAGATATATTCACACATGTAGATGTCACACACATCTTTAGCTACAGAAGTAACTTTCACAATAGTGTGTTTTGAAGATGTTCTGCCTCATCTTTCTCTCTCTGTCTTTAACATGCATTTGATTAGATCTGGATCCTGTGTGTGTGAGACATTCATAAACTGTCCTGTAACCCGTGAGGAATCACCTGTAGAACTGCTGCAACTCCAAATGCTCAATACAAGCACACACAGATGCACTTGAAGGAGTTTTACTCTTTAAACATCCAGTGGTGGAATTAAATGACTCAAGTAAGAGTAAATAAGTGATTTGCTTAAAAAAAGAAAATACTCAAGTTACAAAGTACCCAAAATCAGGTGGTGTGAGCATTATGGAGCATTAAATACTCTCATGCAATGTCTGTTTCACAAGTGAGACTCATAGAAGTATTAAACTTATGACGTTCCATGAAATCCCTTATATGGACGCGAGTCTTCTTGTTCTTGAATGGTTTAAAGTCATATTAAAATGTGCACATAGGAATCGATAAGAGGAATCGAAATTGTAATTTTAAGTATCCGATTCCAGCAAGGGTGTAGAATTTAGTAGAGACACTCGAGACATGTCCCTACCAACATCCAGCGACTACTAAAAAACGGTCTGTTGAGTACCTGGTTCTATGAAGCCCAACATGGCCCTGCCCCCTCTGCTGCCTGTTTCCGGGGGCGGGGTTTATGTAAATTTTAGGGTTCGTGATGTCACCAACCCAGGAAGAAACTGGTTGTAGTCCCTACCAGCCATGTGTTGTAGGCCTTAAAAAGCTAATTCTGTCAAATAAAATATCTCCCTTTGCATTGAACTTTGAGCATCGTAACTTTGCAGACGTTGTTTATGCTCAAACAGCAACATGACACACTAACTAAAGTTAAAAAGGTGAAATCATAATCAATGACCCCTTTAAACCATTGCGTCGCAAAATGATTCACGGTTTCGAAGCGCTCCATTTTCCCGTTGATTTTTCCCCCGTGGGTTAAAGTTTGAAATATTGCATGAATTACATTTGACTGAAATGCTTGTATTGAAACATTTTGCATTCTACCTATGAGAGAGCTGCGCTAGATGTTAAGTTTTGTTAAGGAGGGCCAATGTTGAGCTGTGGTTATGATCAATGTGCATAACAGTGACTGTAAAATATGCATTTTAGGTACATGTATGTAAACAGTACAGGCAACCCTGGCTGTATGTTGCATGAATTACATTTGACTGAAATGCTTGTATTGAAATGTACAGATGATAAAACTGCGCTAAGTTTTGTGAACGAGGGAAGCCTTTGAGCTGTGTTTATGATCAGTGTGCATAACAGTGGCTGTACAATATGTATTTTAGGTATGAAAATGACATATTTTGCGTTTTTAAATTTGGGATATGGCCACTGCACTACTTTGGGCTGTTATTGACGATATGATAGCACTAGTCATATATTTGAATGTTGAGAAGTGAGCTCATTGGCTACCGATACAGGAGAGAACCAATCAGCTGTGCCATGTGATAATGATGTCATTAGGTCAGATTGAGTTAGACCTATCAGACTGCGCCATCTAGAGTTTCATGCCAGAACTCTGTGTATATATATGCATCATATATATATGACTAATGAATCTCGGAGTTGTGATGATAAAATAAAACGTTTCAGCTTCCTAAGCAGCTAGACTTCTCGTGCTAATAATGCGTGATAATAACAGTAAAGCTGTTTTGTGTGCAGGCTCTGAGAACAGGGTCTCCAAACATATGGGCCTTCATGAGCTCATGGCGCTAAAACAAGCAGAAGAATCCTTGAGCTCCGTCCATCTCACTCTCTCGAGTCTTTGACACATTTTCGTGCGTATTTAAGCAAAGACAAAAAATCCTGCATGGTCGACATTCCAGCCTGTGAAACGGGAGAATGCAGAGAATACTGGGCTCTTGGCAGCGGCTTTACACGACATTAATTTCCACAATAACATTCA